TAATCAAACCAATTTCGAAAAAAATACATTCTCTTTAAAACAGTTTTAGTTTGCTACCATCAGCTTGTTCTAAATGAGCAGCTTGTCACAAAAACATAATATACAGTATATCTCTTTTGCCTCTAGTGCTTTTCACACAACAGATGCATTTTATTGGTAATAAAATAAAATCTCTGCTCCTTTTTGATTAGCCACAAATGCCAAACAGAAGGGATTCTGCACCATGTGTGCACAAAATGTAGTAATTGTTCAATCAGAAGTGTGCCAAGCAGAGATACTGTACGTGTCACTTCACACATCAACGCCAACTCAGATCTGTGACTACATCCTCTGCTGCTTCAGAGGTGTATCAGCACCGCATCAGCTTTAGCTTTTATTCCACCTTCTCACTTTCATGCATGACACTGAAGCACGGCTAGAGCACATCAGCCCAGCGTGCGAGCTGATGTGTGATGTGTTTCTGAAATGCATTCCCTTCTATAGTATCATACCTCCTTTATCATACTTTCATGAATAAATGTTATGCATGAACCATGTGACTCCTAGAGTTTGAATGAATGCATTAGAACGGGCGTCTGCAACCTGGGGCCACATGCAGTTTTTTGGTTCCAAAAATAACCTGAAAATGAATCTTTATAGGACAAGCTTTCTGTAGCGGTTCAGTTGTCCAGTTTTTTACAATATGTGGCCAACTTTTGGGGCAGTGGGGGGATGGGGACAATGAAAACTTTAAAATGAAGGTATCAATTGTTATTAGAGAGAAAAGACTCTCAAACTGCTCTTTTAATTGTAAAAATTACAGAATTCTGCATCAGAACATTAACTAACATGAACATGACAAATGCCCGATCTGCTTTTATACAAAAATGACAGCATCGATGCATTTTATAATTAAAAWCACCTTAATTATAACTGAAAGCACAAGGAAAAATTGATACTTGTGACTCAAAACAGTAACATAATTACCTGTGAGAAGCTGTTTTAGCTGACAGACATTTTTGCTTAATCTTCATTTCTCTCATTTCACCTGCATCAAATTAGCTGGATTCTACTTCATTTGTTTGCACAACCTTCAACTGTTGTTGTTAATGACACCAGTTATTTATTGGAATTCATTTATCATTGAAAATACCACCACCTGCATTTTGATGATTAACTACTAAACATAGCAGTGCAGCTTAATTGAAAGCCAAATAACCCTGCATCACTGTGGCCAAATTTCGAGCTAAGTGAAAAAGGCTATCAATAATTCAGTGGAGGCAGGAAAACAGTGGCAGTCAAAGGCCTAAAAKCAAGCAGGCTGTAACATGCAGTAGCATGTAAAAAAAACAATGTTGATTTCATTTGTTTTAATTTATTACAACAGCCCTGGCACCAGGTTTATGCTCTGCCTTCCTGATTTTTTTTCTCCCTATTTCTGCTGTTTGTGCCTGTTGAGTTACCTTTATTAAAAAATTAATGGAGATCCAGCTCYGCATATCTAGTTTCTGTACACCTGTGATCCGCTTTGATGCGAGTCATGATCTCCAATCAGCTCCAGGTTAACTGGGAACAGAATCAACACATATAGGGTCAACAAAACCTAACAGCTGTTTWAACTCCATCTATAAATATATTTTACGATTGTTCTTAAGGGCACTGTAAGGACCGACAATAAAAATGCCTAGAAATGTTGCAATGCATTACGCTGGATAATAAGTAGCCTTTAAAAACACTGTCTCTTACAAAAGCCCTCCTGCACCCCTCCTGCCCTGCCCTTTCCGTGTCACACCTGTAACCTGACTCATTTCCCATAARAAGACAGATGCATCCCGGCCTCCCACGCCAGCAGCAACAGCAATTATACTCTGACATGACTGCAGGGTGAGGCTTAGTGTCTAGCACTTCACGACACCCTCAAATTACCTTAACCAAAGGGGAAACAATAGTGGTTCACCTCCTTCCGCTCTGAGAAAGTTCAAGCAGCAGACCTTTGTGTGTTCTAACCTTATACTCTGCATAACACGCATGCTTTGGCAAGAGAACTGAAAGCAAGGGCACACGGTTTCCTCTCAATGAATGGCAAAGTTGCACCAAATTTAGATCATTTGAGAATCAACAATATTCGATCTAAAACAAAAGCTTTAAAAAAAGACACAACTGCTGTTCTTATTTAAATTCTGTACCTTGTTACCCATTTTCTACTGAGCCCGTACTGAGCCCGCGAGGGGACATGTTTTTTTTTTCTTTTTGCATTCCCACYCAAAACTATTGCGTTACCTCACAAGACCTTTTGCGAAAGTGCTTTATCACTGTTGTGCCTGCCTGTTTATTAACAAATTCACGTTTACCATTAACGAGTTAGCCTACTGCTTTAATTCAGCTTCAGAATGAGTATATTACACAGCCATGCATGGAAGTATGTCATGATATTTTAACGCAGTGCAGTCACGCAACATCAATGTCAATTTCACAAACTTGTGGCGAGACATCCTGTTTTGGTTACCGGATATTTCAAAATAAAAGTCTGATTTAATTCAGTTCATATACAAAATCTTTTGCGTGGGAACGCAAAACAATTTTGCGAGGTAACGCAAAAGTGTTGCGAGGGAACGCAAAGGTATTGCGAGGGAATGCAAAAGAAAAAAAACATCCCCCCATGTCCCCTTGCAGGCTCCGTAATTTTCCATTAATTTCCCTCCTCTTGCCTGCAATCTATTTCTTTACATTTATCTGGCCTGTGCAAATCTTGCCAATTTTAGATCCTGTGGGCATTGATTGAGAGCATGTGGGGGGCCGACTCATCCGGACTACTTACAAAGACATTTTCAGTACAATCAATGTCACTGAAAGAGAAACTAAATCTTCTTAGGGTCCCTCTGCCCTTGGTAATATAGCACTGTCTACCACATGGGGGGATATCTATTTTCTCTCATTCTGACTCTGTTCGTTTTTCCGCCACTCCTTTCACTTTTTTTTACCACCTCATTAATTCTATATCATTGATCCTTTCAAAGAGAAAATAGGTGGATTTATTGGACTCTCCGGGTTTGAAATATATCATTGACATCGGCTGCTGTGTATGAGTCCATTTTAATGCCCAAAATTATAGCCTCTCATCAGGAAATTGAAAAGTACAGAGATGGGCGATGAGATATTCTGAGACAGAAAAGCTGCTTTTCCAGCAAGGGGCGTAGAGGTAGCAGCAGAGTGATTTATTTGTTTGTGTTTAGACTTTCATGATCTACTTGCTGGTGTGAAGGTAACAGCAAACAAAATTATCATGCCACTTTTGCCCTGACATTGCAGACAGACACCACACAAACACGAAAAGTATCAGTAGATACTGTAAATTGAGCTGTTTGTCATAAGATAATTTGACAAATAAATGTAATCTTTGAATGGATCAGTTCATCAGTGAATGAATGAATGAATTAATGAATGAATG